GTGTGTGTGTGTGTGTGTGTGTGTGTGTGTGTGTGTGTGTGTGTGTGTTTGAGCTTAATTTCCAGGTTGCACTAGGCTTGAGAGGTGGTAACACCTTGAGTGTGGAGCTAACTAAGAGCTGACAACTTTCAAGTCATTTTCAGTAGTGGTGGTCTTTGAAGGGAATGTAGGGACTTTCATCTCTCTTGCTTCATGACTGGCATGGTATGAGTAGTTTTGTTCTGCCATGTATTTCCACCATGATATTCTAGCTTCAAACAGGCCTAAAATGGCAGAGTCATAACACCAGGGGACTACCATTATATATGAGCTCTGCTGTTGACTGAAATTAACATACAAGCATGATTAAAATCATGCAACATGAGTATTATGTATAAAGATAGTATATGTAATAGCATATATCATACATATGACACCACATAGAATGATGTATAATTATATACTTATATTAAATATATTTTTATAGTTAGTGTTATATAATATACACATACACATATAATTAATACGTAATATAGAATGTTTAGGGGCTAGAGAGACGGTTTAGCAATTAAGAGTGTTTATTAACTTCCTTTTCTTGCCTTCTTGCACACCTTCATGCACATCCAGACAGACAGACAGAGACAGACAGACACACACACACACACACACATACACTTAAGATTAATCTAAAAACTTTAAAAGGAACATTTAATTAGCAACGGATAATTAAGATTCTTTTAGTAACATCTGTATACTCTATAAGTATCTTGTGTTGTGTAAAATATATAATATATGTTATGTAAGTAACAAGCACAAATTCAGCTGTTTGTAGCCTTTTAGCATCCCATCAACTCACTGAGATGATGAAAGACTCGTATAAGATCTCAATGGTTTTTTTTTAAAGTAAATACCATTCTGCGTTCTGTATTTGAGCATTCTCCTTCACAGTTATAGGAAATCTGTACTCTGCTTTCTCTTTCTCCCCAGGTAATGCAAGATCAGCAGCTCATCCATTCTTGCGCTTTGCAGCTAGCCCAGGAATTGCAGGGACACAATAAACATTTGTGGGTGATGGAATTACTTCTCAATAAAAAGGATTTTAAATTTGCCCGCAGACCCATGGTATTAAATGAACAAGACAATACGTGTTCCTGGCAGCCGCGGTAAATGGTGTTATGCACGTGCCTCTTTTAATGGACTCTCCTTCCCCCTTCGGAACACAAGCATTCTGCTGTGAGCACCTTTGCCCTTCTCTATGGCTAACAATGCAGCAATAATAGCGGCTGTGCTCCTTTTCGTCCTTCCATGAGCCGGGCACTAAAGGCTTTGTTAAATCCTTAAACCACGCTAAAGCAATTTTTGTTTCCTATTCAAGCCTTAAAATGGGTATTTAGAGAGTGACGGGGGCTTGCCCAAACTTATGGAGCCTGGGAATGATAAAGCCATGTGTCCAGACTTTAAGGTCACCTCTGTATTCTGCTGTCAGTCTTTCCAGCTGTCTAGCCAATCATG